AATAATTTGTTAGAGTATAGTGTAAACAATTCAAATAGATGTATTGAAGACTATCCATTGGATGCATTGAAGACTATCCGAATAGATGTAGGCATACTTTAATCAGATGGTGTTTTGTATTCTATCCTGATTAAAGGTTTGGCTTAACTACCTTCACTATATTTTGACAGATTTCCTTGATGATTATTTGCCATAATTTTTTCAAGCATTAGAGAGGAATGAAAAATCACACTAGAACCAAGGACTCAGAAAGGTACGAATATTATTATCAAACTGTATGAAAAAGTTTATTTGTGCGTGAAAGAGGTGATTGAAGTACAACCAAATTCAGTTAACACATTCACACATTTTTATTGTTTTTTAATATTAGATTCAATTATACGTTCTGTGGTTGTCTCCAACAATTAGTTCTTGATTCACAATGATCATTTCAGGAGTTATTGGGTTTCTGCCGGCAGGTAGAAGATTCAAGTTCAATCCACGAAGATTCTCAAGGATTGGGTTCCTCACTTGTTCCTGTGTAGGAGCAACAACCTGTATCATAGGAATAGGATGGATTGAAGAAGCAGACATGTAAAATATGTAAATTGTAAGGAAGCTGATGTAAATATTAAATTATTACATGCTAATAATATTTTAAATGTATGAATTTATATATTGTTCAATATATTGTGTATTTTGAATTTATATTTATTTGGTAATCAACACAAGATTACAGATGTCTAATAAAAAATTCAACTACCATTCAAATTAATAGTTTGAAAAGTGTATGTACAACTACACAAACCCGTAGTGTTAGTAACATTTAGACAATTAAAACAAACAGTTGTTTGAAATACTACAAAAATAGTAGTTCATATTTTTAAAATACAATGTGAAATAATAGTTGTCTGATACAAATTTCTTTAGTAATCTTTGGGGTAGCTGTCTGATAAACAATTCAACTACTGTCATAAAAGATAGTTAGAATACTTCAAGGAAAACTACAAAACATCGTTGTATTAATAATCAATATACAACTAAAAAAACAGCAGTTTGAATAAGAATAATGTTAGTAGTTCATATTCTAGAAATACAACAAAAGATAACAGTTGTCTGATGCTAATTTTATTTAGTTGTCTTCCGAGCAGCAGTCTGATATATTTTTCAATTACTTTTTAAAGTAGATGTCTATATTGTTGAACGACAACACCAAAAATTAGGAGTCTGAAGTTAAAAACAACAGTAGTATTCATTATAAATAGACAACAAAAAATCACAGTTATCTTTAACTCTAAAAAACAGATGTCTTACTCATACAAAGAAAACACCAAAAAGTGGTACTCTAAAATATTACAAAACAGTTGTCGTCAACTATTTTACACAATTGTTTTTAAACAGTAGTCTGTAAATATATCAGACAGCTGTTCGGAAGACTACTAAAATCAGCACCGAGAGACTACTAAAAGAAACAGTTGTCAGCATCTGTTTTTGACGTAGTGGCTTATAATTTCGCTCACCTAATAAAACCTAGATTACAATATAATAATAATAATAATAATAATAATAATAATAATAATAATAATAAACTAATAAATATATAATCTAATATCCTACTATATAATTCATAACAAATATAATCATGAGTAAGTGTTAGTTCAATGCATTGGAAGCTCAAACATGCAATATGAAGCATATAGATCTTATACATTACCAGTTTTGTTAGTGGCATCAATAAGTGGATAGGGAGGCATGTTGTGTACGATTTAGAATTTTCCCCCGTTTATAATTTCATGTGATGCTTTTTGATCTTATCAAAATTTATATTTTTTTGTTTGGATTGTGATTTATGTCTATTTTTTAAATTTTTTTAGGCTAAAGTCCGAAGTCGAATAGTAGGTTTGTCATCGTAAAACAGTCTGCACTCAATTTCTTGAGTATGAGTTCATAGATTTACTTTTTAATGAATGAACTTGAGTTTAGTTGGTTTAATTTGCTTTTAAATGGTTGATTTAAAATCATTTACTCTAATTTTAATCGATTGAGTATTTTGCAAAAGGTCTACAGGCTTGCACTACCCACCTTAATGCTACTCTGAGCACATCTCTTGCACAACACCTCTTCAACATTAATAGTATTAGATAACATACTTCAATATTTGCAAATCATTTGGAAAATCCTAAACTCCTCATTGATTAAAAGTTGTGTTGCACTCTCATTCAAGTGTCTCAATGCTGGCCCATCCATAATTCTTTTTTCATACTCAGGTTCTATATTTAATACTCCATTTACATTTCCCCCTGTATTGTAACCTCTGTGTTGAACATGACACCCTTTGGATGTAGGCTTTTATCTGACCTACCACTGTGAATTTGGTCTTTGATTGGTGGTATTAAGGTAAAATAATATGTTTTTAAGTTTTAATGATAACCATGTGTTTGGACTCTATATGGCCGTTGATTTGCTTTGGTTAGTGTACTGATTTATTGACTATACTTAAGTAAAAGATTTGTGTTCTAAATTTGGCCTTCCGTTGCTAAACTCAAATTCATTGGTCACTTCCTATTCTCTTACTACCTCCATCCCTGCTTTACTAAACACTCTTTTTCTTCGATCTTTTCATTGCTTTCCAATGCTTCTTATTGCAACCATTTTCAAGGCCTTTTCTCCGACTTTTCTGTCCTAAGTTTAATTCCACCAAAACAGATTACACCTTATGTGCTTCTTATCTCAATAGTTCAATCATTTCTCGAAAAGAAATATAAACAAGGTTTCAAAAATTGAATTTGATTTTGAACCTCTGTTTAGACTTCAGTGGTTGATGCTTTCTATAATATTATCAGTCACTAAATTTTTTTTCATTATCTTATAAGTTATAATGTGTTGTTCCATTTAGCATCATGTTCTCCTTTCTAATTATCTGCAAATGGAGTACATATTCCACTTTTATTAGTAGATTCTTTATTTCAGCATAATGCTTGGTTGATTTGATAGTAGTCTCACTGGGTTTGCCCGTTTTTAATTTTGTTGACTGTAACTTACATAGTGTTTGCATTCACTTGGTTGAGTGAATCTAAATGAACTCACAAAAATATCAACAAATAGATGGAAATCAAAGAAATGAGAATGCAAAGCCCAAGTAAACGTCAGCTAATGCATGTGCTAATATAACTTAACCATGAATAAAAAATTCATCTTTAGGTTAAATATCAAGGAAACAGGCGTTAGCTTATGATTCATTGCAACTAGAGTATGATGTAATATGACTTCATTATTGCAGTGGGGAAAAACATTGGTGGGTGCACTCGCAACAACCCATTCAGCTCAATGTTCCTTGGTGTATATCATTTTGGTCTTCTACTTTATAATAGTTAAATGAAAAATCAGCATTTATCTTTTTCTTCTAAAACAGAAGTGGACATATTTTACAACGTATGTATGCTTATTTGAAAAGAGTATGAAGTGGGGATATGAAAATATTTTAAATCAGGTTTTTAATTGCATCTCCGCATGACCCCAATACTTTGGATTCCTAAGAATATGAAGGTCAAGTCTTCACCTTATCTCTTTATTCAATTCCTTAATGTAACATTTCACATGTCGTAAACAGGTAAGGTTTAAAGAAACCGAGACAAATTAGCAAATTGATCTTTAGTTTTATTGATAATATCTCCATTTAGTTATTTATGTCATGTGGATTGAGGATAACTTCTTCATGGCTGAGATTTTTATAATTTTTTTAGATCTATTCTCATTTGAAGAGGTGATACACTTAACCTTTCTTGGGTTTTATATCATTATCATTGAGGGCACGGCTTATCTACTTTTTGGTTTGCCTTATTGCAGCTACATGAATGTGTAGGATCACCTGTTGGTGTTAACTCTTAAGGGACTTAAGGGACCTGACAGTTTCAGGAATTTGGAGAAGGCACTAAGAAGAGTATTGCATGAAGAGCCTGATATTCATGGTATAATACCCAATTTACAAATTCTCATTGAATAGAACAAGAACAGTTTAGAGGGAAAAGAGGATCTATCCATTGTTGGTATAAGCATCGACAATGAGCAAGCAATTAAACATTATTGCGTTACGACACACAAGTTACATCTAGCAATTCAAGTGTTATATATATGGGTCTGTGATAATAAATTATTTTTGCTTCTTTCGGAAGCCTTCCTGAGTTCCTCAAAAGACATTGTTGTACCTTTTTCATGTACTACGTACTTTTTGTATATTTCTCAAAATGATAAATAAATAAATTCATTTCCTTTTCTTTTTTTATTCAACTGAAACAATGATTTTGATATTCTTGACTTGACTGAATCCTACATAAACTTGGTTTGGCTCTACGATAAATTAAATTCTCCATAATTTTTTTACTTGGGGCATGTTTATTTATTTATAAAGCTCCTATATTGGGTTGTATGAAATTTATCGCAAGTATAATTCATGGAACATGATTGCAATATCAATCAAAGGAAATCCTTTGGATAAATACTATTATTTGGAATAAAAGTACTCCTATATAATTAAGAGTATCTTTATTTTCTTTAAAAGATGTCGATATAAGGTATATGATCATTACAAAAGGTGTTAAACAATCATTACAAAAGGTGTTAAATTGAAATTAACATGACAAGTTCTATCTTGGGGTAGTAGTAGAAACTTTGGTAAACCTATCTACTATCACATTACAAACAATTGTTTGTACTACTTTTGTCTTAATCTATTTATCCAGTTTGACTATTTCAATTCAAATTAGACAACTGATGTGTTTTAACTACTCTCAATTTGTATTGCGCATTAGTATAATGAAATAAGATTTTAAAAATTCTCAACAAGATAAATGATATAAAGTCATTTTTATACGATTATACATTACGTTTTTATTTAATTGAAATTGAAACTTTATCCAGTTTCAAAGAGATAGTAGTTCATATTTTCTCTCATTTAGATTAATATTTCATTTTATTTGGTATTAAAGAGATATCCACAAAAACTCTTTTACATGTAACAAATACAAGCATAATTACCCCAGCCCGTGCGAAGCACGGTGTAGAACACTAGTTAATATATATACTTTAATTTATTAGGTGGCCTTTAGGGTCATTTTTTCGGTTTCGGCCATGCCATTGAATTCTAGGGACAGGCCCTGGGCAAAAGCCTGTGTAACACCTAAAATCTGAGCGGGAAGAGGATTGCGTAGCCGAAGCAGGTTCTTGAATCAATACCATTCAAGAACCTCCATAACAGAGAATACCATGGCCACAAGAAGAAGGTACTGAACTGATTGTAAAATTTTCACTGTCATTTACAAATATTCATCTTTAGGAAAAACCCTTAACTGTCCGCTTTCTTTTTCTCCTGAATTTTGCGAACCCAATTTGTTTGTAAGCCTGAATGAACGGTCTTTTTTCCTTTTTTTTAATGAAATACAAAAGGTTCATTCTGTAGCGTGGAATTGCATTGGCACTAAACTAGCTTCAGGATCGGTTGATCAAACTGCTCGTATTTGGCATATTGATCCCCATGGTCATGTAAGCTTATTCATTTTAGTTAACTTCAAAAATGAACCTCTCTGCCTGCTTCTTTGTTGCTTAGGAGAATCTCTCTGCTTATTTCTTTTTACCTTAAGTGAATCTCTCTACATGTTTCTTTGTACCTTAGGAGAATCTCTCTGCTTGTTTAGTGTCTAATATAATGTTTTTTTAGTCGAGTTAAAAATTTTCATTAAATGAACAAAAGATGTGTACTCTTGAGTCTTGACACTTTTTTTAATCTCTAAGATCTTCCTGAAAGTGTTTTGATATTTCAATACTCCACTTTTTTGTTGGAGCATGAACCTGAAGAAAAAAGACATGCCAACATGACAAGACTGGTTCTGCCAAAGCCTTCCGACCCCAATTTCCATATCCTTGTATCAAAGGCTTCGTTGGATTATATCAGCAGGTACTCACGTGGTAGATTTGGAACATGACCCAAAAGATCTCTTATCTCACAGTTTCATCTAGTGATGTGAGCTCCACCCAAGGGGTTGCTCAATAGTCAATACCACGGCTTACCTCCTCCCCGCAAGACTTTGAGTAGAAGGGCGCCCACCTGGACAATTTCATCATTTGGAACATGGTTCTCTCTTACTTTCTCTTTAATAGTTACTGTTCTCATCCCGAGTCATTTTTAATTGATAACGGTGTTTCCCTTTTTCTTAACTCCTAAAATTAATTCACATCTATTTTAACATACATATCTCTCTACTATCCAAGTAGGAGTAAGGTCTGCGTACACACACCCTCCACAACCCTACTTTAGTAGAATTCTATTGGGTTGTTGTTGCATAACTTGTATCGCAACCACCACCTTTTTTTTAATATTTCAGCATTTTGATTCAGATAGTAATATAGTATCACATGTCTAATGGTGGTGGTTCTATATAATATGGTTTTTGGTCTTAAATGATCTAATCATCACTTTAATTTTTGATCAGTACGTATTCTTGTTTTGAAACTAGACCAAACATACTGCAAATCAGAAACATTAATACTGGACTAGACAGACACTAGGCTGTTTCACTCACCAGACTAGGTGATATATATTTAAAACAAAGATATTGAAATTCTAAGCATTGAGACCCGATTAAACAAAAGACTGAGACAAAATTATACTCGATCAAAGGAATTTTTGATATATGTTCATAATAAATTAGATCAGAAAGATTCAAAAGAGACCAGATCTTGAAATATTCCTATTAGAGCAGTGCCAATAAATTCTTAGACACCTCTAACAATAAGTCTTGATGCTAGTGTTAACTCTTATTATTCCTCCCTATTTTAGTTAACATCAATTGTTTTGGTGTCTCTCTTCTTAGTTATTTGTATTATAGATCCTACATATTAGGAACACTGATAAATCTAACCCACCCAATTTCACCCACTTTGATGTTTATGTTTAATGGTGCTTAATTTTCTTCCTATACTTAGTTTCACTTTGAATTATCACACGCCATTACGATTCTAACTTTACAACAATCCCTTTTTGGATACATGAACAAACACCATATCATTTGCATACGAAATACATTATGTTATCTCACCTTGGCTAGGTGTGGTTTAACTAATTCATGATGATTGTGAATGTGAAGTGGTTTAGAGTGGGATTTTGGTTTAGCAAAATTGTGATAAGGAAAGCAACAAGTTCTAACTTCTAACACTTTCCTTCATTTCTAGTTGCATATTCGGATGTTCTTGATTATGTCATGAAATTTATGTCGTATCCTTCTTTATCACTGCTCACCAAGTACTTTTGTAGTTCCTTATCATGTACTTCTCCCACTGTAACAAAATCATTGACAAATTTTTTAACTTGTTTGTGGCTTTGTGCTCAATGAAATGTCACAAAAGATGACTAGTTTCAATTGTTGATCAGTCGATTTCCATGACATAACCTGATCCTTGTTTTGTAATACTTAATTTTTTTCTATATTCTTTGTTCTATCACCCCTCCTCTAACTTCATGGTAAAACTCATGTTCTATTCTCCATATTTTAAAAGTCTTGAGCTTTCACTTTCTATTATCAATAGTTCCTTTGTTTTTTCTCTATGCATTTGATATTCTATCATGCCTTTTGAAGCGAGTGTTATGGTTTCTGTACAGTGGAGCATAGCAACCAGCCCTTAGAATGGTACGAGTATATCAGTGTAGCTAGCAAATAGGAGGGATAACCGAGTGCATGATGCTTACTATATAAATATTCAATATACAACAACAACAACAACCCAGGTTGATCCCACAACAGTAGGGTCTGGGGAGGGTGTGTGTACGCAGACCTTGCCCCTACTCGGAAGTAGGGAGGCTGTTTCCAAGAGACCCCCGGCTCCACCTGCACAAAAATATTCAATATAAAAATGATTAAAATTTACCAATGTTAATGATATTTGAACTTACCAATTGCTACTTAACCCAGAGAATTTAAAAGCGTATAGTCGTATACATCAGTGTAATGGATCGTTTTTCATCCTGATGGTGTTTGATCATCTTTCCAAATATGCTCATTTTATGGCTCTACCATGATAGAATTTAGGATGGACTATGGACAACTGGATTAGGCAATAAGACACTTGGGTTTAACCACATTAAAAGATTGAATCAAATCAATTAGTTAGTTCAACTCAAGAGCTTATATACCGATTATTTTGCTCTTGAATTTCCGATGTGGGTTGACACTCTAACACTCCCCCTCAAGTGGACAACTGGGCCATTTTGAATCTAACCGGTTGACCACTTGCAAATAAAATCCCATTCCCTTGTTTTTTTGTGAGCGCCAACACCTTAAAGGACCACGAGCCGCTGGGTATGGACTTTGAGGCGAGCAATCGTGTTTGCCGTTGGGTACATACTCCATAGGGACAACTGGGCTAAAGACTAACGGGTCGCTAGGAATGAACGTCTAGACAGTCACCTTGACAAACGAGGTGGGCCAAAACTTGCTCTAATACCATGATAGAATTTAGGATGAAGTATGGACAACTGGATTAGGCAATAAGATACTTGGGTTGAACCACATTAAAAGATTGAATCCAATCGATTAGTTAGTTCAACTCAAGAGCTTATATACCGATTATTTTGCTCTTGAATTTCCGATATGGGATGACACTATAACATACCACATCTTTGTTAGAATAAAGGCCCAACGCTAGAGGGGGGGGGGGGGTGAATAGCGTTTAAAATAAAATCGCAGGAAATTAAAAACGAGAGCTTAAAAGTAAAGAGCGTAAGGAAGGAGCACACCGAATTTTATTCTGGTTCACCACAACGTGTGGCTAATCCAGCCTCCCGAGAGACTCTCTCGAGCTACACTAACTCCGTTAAGCTTAAGGGTTCTCAACAAACCGATACAACTTGAGAACTCGAGTCACACGAGCCTCAACGCCTTTGCTAGGAGATACCGCACTCCAAGACTTCTCACGAAGGAACAAAGAACTTCCTTCGAGTTTACAACAAGGGAACAACCTCCCTTAAAGTGTATGAAAACACTTAAACACTCAGGAATAAAACTCTCACAAAGAGTAGATTTGAGTGAACTAGTAAACGCTCAAGAACACGACAATTTCTTCAAGAATTGGCTCTCAAATAGCTAGGAAAAATAGGAATGCTTATGCAATGAAAGAGTATTGAAATGTTGAAGAATTGTGTGTAAAATGAGAGGAATTGGGTGCCATTTTAAAGCCCAAAATGGGATAAACCCGTTGCTAGAATTTCCAACAGGATGAAGACAAATTTTTCAGAGACACAGGGAGATAGTCGATTGTCAAAGCCTGATAATCGATTATCAAAAGATTCCCTGTCCAAAAATTTAAAATTCTATCCGTTGGAGGACAACGGTAACCCAGATAATCGATTGTCAACTAGGGATAATCGATTATTGGTCCTCTCAGAAGTTTCTGGGTTTTGGCTGCACATACTGATAATCGATTATTGCAAATGTGATAATCGACTATTGCTAGCTTCAGAACTTCGGAGTTCAAAGCTGCAGAGGCAGATAATCGATTTTCACCAAAGTGATAATCAATTATTATCTAGCCAAAGTCTAGCCAGCTGAAACCCGTTTTGAAAAACCGAGGTCCAAAAACGAAGTGTTCCCAAAAGTAGAAACCAAGTTTGGAAAACATTGTATATGGTATAAAATAGTGAGAACAAGACTTGTTTGGTGAAAACCAAGTCTCCAAGGTCGTAAATCACGTGTGTACGGTTTTGACCGTTTTTCACGTGTTAGACCGATTGACCAAGATACAAAAGTGGTTTTTGTAAAATAATTATTTGGGAACCTTTTAAATATGCTCAGAGATAAAAGCGAGGTTTAAAACATTGAAAAACACCGAGTTGGTTCGGGTGCTAAAAACCGAACGCCGAACACCAAATGCCGTACGACGATGCCGAACACCGAATGCTGAACACCGTACGCCGACTAAGGTGATTTTGGTTCTGAGCAAGGACCAAGGATTTTAACAATAAAAAAATTTTATCAAAAATGTTTATTTTGATGCACAAAAATATTTTATGATTTTGTAAAATTATTTAGACTCTTTGAGAACCGAGACTTGAATTGATTGTCGGTTTTGATCACAAAAGACTGACTCGACTAAGTCTTCAATTCTTGATCTTGTCCTTGAGTCTTTTAGGTCTTGTTCCATGCCATTCTTCACGCCTTGAGTTATTCAACGAAACTCTTTATATCCACGGCGGTTTGGCAATTATCAAAACCTGTCAGAAATGAACACAACTTTAGTTAAACGTGCAAAATGTGTTCCAACAATTTCCCCCTTTTTGATAATGGCAAACAAGACGGGGATATGCATAGGGTTTTGATCTTTTTGAAAAAAAATTCCCCCTTAATAAAATTCCCCCTGAAAATATGCATAGCCCTTATCTTCCCCCTTTTGACATTAACAAAAAGATTTAATAACAAAAACCATAAAGATTTTTATTAATTAATTAAGGGAAATAGAGGAGTACATAGCGAAAAGCACATAAAAAGAAATGATAAAATAAGGAAGAGAAGAAAATAGAGCTAGAGCTCTAGAAATCCGGGGAGAGATCATTGAGAAGTTGTTCTTCGTCAATGTCTTCTTCTTCATTTTCTTCATCTTCATCACCATCGCCATCATCATCATCATCATCATCATCATCATCATCGGCTTCTTCTTCCTCTTCTTCTTCTTCTGCTTCTTCTTCTTCAACGTCCACCGCGTCGTCCCTACCAACATTTTGAGTCCCGCTTGGTTCACCTCCGAAATTCGGTGGAGGAACGTAGGGGACCATTTGAGCGTAAGGGTAATTGACAAAGTCAAAATACCCGTGAAGCTCACGGCTCAAAATATCGACATTGTGTGCCTTTTTGGAGACGTTGGTGTCTATCCGAGAGAGGGTGGTGGTCAAAGCTGCCATTTGCTCGGCGAGAGACGGATTTGTCGAAGTGGTGGGGGTCGAGGCAGCGGCTCTCGGTTGGCGGCGAGGACGAGGCTGCGGGAACGTAGCTTCATCGGTTCCCGGGTAGAAGGAAGACTCGTCAATCTCCCAATGCTTCGTCCCTTTGCATTTTGGCCCGACGTCCGTCTTGATGTGGAACTCATCAAGGATCGCCATGACAAGAAGAGCATAGGGTAGCGGCCGGTTGTCGGAGGTGGCGTTGAACATGTGAGTCATCACAAACTTACACCAATTGATATTGGCGTTGTTGATCATCGCATGAAGCGTCTTCGTGTCCTCTTGGGAGAGAGTGGTGTGGTTGAACTTCCTGGGCTTGAGAATCTGTGTCAAAACATAGAAAATGAATCGATACACGGGACTCATGGAAGTGATTGTTGGACGCCGCTGTTGGGGAGTGGGGACGAAATTGCGGATTCCCACTAGCTCCAAAAGGGTGGCCTCGTTGAATCGTGCTCCTTCTTCTCCGACATATAGGCCGAGATCCTGTCCGTCCCTACGAAGCCCGGTGAGAATTTGAATGTTCTCCTCATTCAAATAGATCTCCACCCCGTTGACGTTGGAAATCAACGAACCGTCCTCATCCTTTTTCAAGTTCGAATAGAAGGCTCGAACAAGAAAAGGGTGGTAGTCATTTTTCTTGATGTATAGGAGCTCAAGGAAGCGTCCACGCTCGAGGATAACCCGTGCCTCACGTGGAATAGATCCATGAATGAAGCGGCCAGTGGAAAACCGGGGAGGAAGAATCTCCCGGTGCTCAAACTTCTCCGAGAATCTTGCAGCCTCTTCGCGGTCGTTGAACCAAAGGAACGACCCGTCGAGATACTTGTGCACCGGTGGTGGAGGAGCCGAGGAAGAACCCACGTTCTTGCCGATGCGGGAACGCTTTCTTTGACCGCCTGCCATTGCAACAAAAGAGGAGAGAGAGCAAGGCAAATTTGCAGAAAAGAAAAAAAAATTGCAGGTATTGATGAAATATGAAGAGTATATTGAGAGAAGATGATTGGAATGAGTAAATATTGAAGGGATGTCACCAATTTATAGTGGAGGAGGCCTGAAGATCCGTTGGGATGGTCAAACAAGGTTTAAATGCTCCTCCAACGTCTCTGCAACGGTCAGATTTTTGAAAAATCACCGTTGATAATCGATTTACACTCCCTGTAAATCGATTATCTGAGTCTTCAGATTCTCCGCCAAAGAAACTGCAGGCTTCAATAGTCGATTTACATGTTTTAGTAAATCGATTGTTGGAGTTTGCGCCTGAGTTGCCTTAAACTTCTGCAGGCTCAAGTAATCGATTATCTTAAAGTGGATAATCCATTGTCGTTTCCTTCAGCTTCTTGGTTCCAAACTTCTGCGGGCTGTGATAGTCGATTATCACAAGCCTGTAAATCGATTTACACCAAGTAAAAAAAAATCGATTGTCTTTGTTCCCCTTGCCTTTGACACCTGAAAAATAAAATTTAAAAGAAAAGCCCTCGATACTTCTTTACGTCTACTTCCTTACCCTTTTCATCTTTGTCCAAGTGCTCGGAGGTGCTCATTGGGGTAGCCATTGCTTTGGAGCCATCCATTTCAAATCTTTTTAGGAGCTCCTTGCAATACTTTGATTGACAAATGAAGGTCCCTTCCCTCATTTGTTTGACTTGTAACCCCAAGAAGAAATTGAGTTCCCCCATCATGGACATCTCAAACTCATTTGTCATTAAGTTTGAAAATTCCTTGCACAAAGATTCGTTAGTAGCACCGAATATAATGTCATCTACGTAAACTTGCACCAAGAGGATGTTATCGTTTTTACTCTTGATAAAAAGTGTAGTTTCAACCTTCCCCCTTTTGAACCCGTTGTCCAAAAGAAATTTGCTCAAACGTTCATACCAAGCACGAGGTGCTTGTTTAAAACCGTAGAGTGCTTTCTTTAGTTTATAGACATACTGCGGGTGCTCAAAATCCTCAAAGCCCGGGGGTTGATCAATATACACTTCCTCTTGAATAAAACCATTGAGGAATTTAATCGATTGAGTATTTTGAAGAAGGTCTACAGGTTCAAAAATTTAGATCTTTTAAAATTTGTTGTTTCAAGATTCTGAATTTGTGAAGTTTGAGTAATGACTACGGAGTATTTTTTTCCTATGGGCCTAATCATTGTATCACTAAAAAAAAATTGCTTTCCAATGCTTCTTATTCCAACCATTTTCAAGGCATTTTCTCCGACTTTTCTATCCTAAGTTTAATTCCACCAAAACAGATTACACCTTATGTGCTTCTTATCTCAATAGTTCAGTCATTTCTCGAAAAGAAATATAAACAAGGTTTCAAAAATTGAATTTGATTTTGAACCTCTGTTTAGACTTCAGTGGTTGATGCTTTCTATAATATTATCACTCACTAAATTATTTTTCATTATCTTATAAGTTATAATGTGTTGTTCCATTTAGCATCATGTTCTCCTTTCTAATTATCTGCAAATGGAGTACATATTCCACTTTTATTAGTAGATTCTTTATTTCAGCATAATGCTTGGTTGATTTGACAGTAGTCTCACTGGGTTTGCCCGTTTTTAATTTTGTTGACTGTAACTTACATAGTGTTTGCATTCACTTGGTTGAGTGAATCTAAATGAACTCACAAAAATATCAACAAATTGATGGAAATTAAAGAAATGAGAATGCAAAGCCCAAGTAAACGTCAGCTAATGCATGTGCTAATATAACTTAACCATGAATAAAAAATTCATCTTTAGGTGAAATATCTAGGAAACAGGCGGTAGTTTATGATTCATTGCAACTAGAGTATGATGTAATATGACTTCATTATTGCAGTGGGGAAAAACATTGGTGGGTGCACTCGCAACAGCCCATTCAACTCAATGTTCCTTGGTGTATATCATTTTGGTCTTCTACTTTATAATAGTTAAATGAAAAATCTGCATTTATCTTTTTCTTCTAAAACAGAAGTGGACATTATTAGCGAGACTTGGGCCGCAAGACATGGCCACCACAAAGACCGTATCCATGAGGGATCTTGTTTCCTTCCCGGACCATGATTTGTTTCCTTAAGTAGATTGAGAATTTGTTTCCTTGCATGATTGTACTCTCCACCCATATATTAAAGGGGGAGATCTTTTGAGAAAGGACAATAACAATTTGCCTTGAATAATATTACGGGCTTTAGGGTTTTCACAGACATATTTTACAACGTATGTGTGCTTATCTGAAAAGAGTATGAAGTGGGGATATGAAAATATTTTAAATTAGGTTTTTAATTGCATCTCCGCATGACCCCAATACTTTGGATTCCTAAGAATATGGAGGTCAAGTCTTCACCATATCTCTTTATTCAATTCCTTAATGTAACATTTCACATGTCGTAAATAGGTGAGGTTTAAAGAAACCGAGACAAATTAGCAAATTGATCTTTAGTTTCAGTGATAATATCTCCATTTAGTTATTTATGTCATGTGGATTGAGGATAACTTCTTCATGGCTGAGATTTTTATAATTTTTTTAGATTTATTCTCATTTGAAGAGGTGATACACTTAACATTTCTTGGGTTTTATATCATTATCATTGAGGGCAAGGCTTATCTACTTTTTGGTTTGCCTTATTGCAGCTACGTGAATGTGTAGGCCGGATCACCTGTTGGTTTTTTCATATCTAAAATATTACATTCTTGGGGCTCATTTACGCTACTTTACCAAGATAATTATGTCCATTACTAGAACTATGAAGCAGAGGCATGCCACGGTATGACTGTGCTACCAAATGTCTCATTTAATTTCTACCTTATTTACCCCCAACTTTGTTCTCTTTCCTGTTGGCAGGTCAATTGTTTTGTACTATTTCTACAAATAGAGGAACAAGGGAACTCTCTGCGAGGACTACTCATGGAATTTGTATACTCCTTATGGTAACTATTTCCATCTTTTTGCACTTACCCTACACAAAATTACAAACTACTGACAGTTTCAGGAATTTGGAGAAGGCATTAAGAAGAGTATTGCATGAAGACCCTGATATTCATGGTATAATACTCAATTTACAAATTCTCATTGAATAGAACAAGAACAGTTTAGAGGGAAAAGAGGATCTATCCATTGTTGGTATAAGCATCGACAATGAGCAAGCAATTAAACATTACGACACATAAGTTGCATCTAGCAATTCAAGTGTTATATATATGGGTCTGTGATAATAAATTATTTTTGCTTCTTTCGGAAGCCTTCCTGAGTTCCTCAAAAGACATTGTTGGACCTTTTCATGTACTACGTACTTTTTGAATATTTCTCACAATGATGAATAAATAAATTCCTTTCCTTTTCTTTTTTTATTCAACTGAAACAATGATTTTGATATTCTTGACTTGACTGAATCCTACATAAACTTGGTTTGGCTCTACGATAAATTAAATTCTCCATAATTTTTTTACTTTGGGCATGTTTATTTATTTATAAAGCTCCTATATTGGGTTGTATGAAATTTATCGCAAGTATAATTCATGGAACATTATTGCAATATCAATCAAAGGAAATCCTTTGGATAAATACTATTATTTGGAATAAAAGTACTCCTATATAATTAAGAGTATCTTTATTTTCTTTAAAAGATGTCGATATAAGGTATATGATCATTACAAAAGGTGTTAAATAATCATTACAAAAGGTGTTAAATTGAAATTAACATGACAAGTTCTATCTTGGGGTAGTAGTAGAAACTTCGGTAGACCTATCTACTATCACATTACAAACAATTGTTTGTACTACTTTTGTCTTAATCTATTTATCCAGTTTGACTATTTCAATTCAAATTAGACAACTTATGTGTTTTAACTACTCTCAATTTGTATTGCGCATTAGTATAATGAAATAAGATTTTAAAAATTCTCAACATGATAAATGATATAAAGTCATTTTTATACAATTATACATTACGTTTTTATTTAATTGAAATTGAAAATTTATCCAGTTTCAAAGAGATAGTAGTTCATATTTTCTCTCATTTAGATTAATATTTCATTTTATTTGGTATTAAAGAGATATCCACAAAAACTCTTTTACATGCAACAAATACGAGCATAATTACCCCAGCCCGTGCGAAGCACGGGATAGAACACTAGTTAATATATATACTTTAATTTATTAGGTGGCCTTTAGGGTCATTTTTTCGGTTTCGGCCATGCCATTGAATTCTAGGGACAGGCCCTGGGCAAAAGCCTGTGTAGCACCTAAAATCTGAGCGGGAAGAGGATTGCGTAGCCGCAGCAGGGCCATACAGAGAATACCATGGCCACAAGAAGAAGGTACTGAACTGATTGTAAAATTTTCACTGTCATTTACAAATATTCATCTTTAGGAAAAACCCTTAACTGTTCGCTTTCTTTTTCTCCTAAATTTTGCGAACCCAATTTGTTTGTAAGCCTGAATGAACTGTCTTTTTTCCTTTTTTTTAATGAAATACAAAAGGTTCATTCTGTAGCGTGGAATTGCATTGGCACTAAACTAGCTTCAGGATCGGTTGATGAAACTGCTCGTATTTGTCATATTGATCCCCATGGTCATGTAAGCTTATTCATTTTAGTCAACTTCAAAAATGAACCTCTCTGCCTGCTTCTTTGTAGCTTAGGAGAATCTCTCTGCTTATTTCTTTTTACCTTAAGTGAATCTCTCTGCATGTTTCTTTGTACCTTAGGAGAATCTCTCTGCTTGTTTAGTGTCTAATATAATGTTTTTTTAGTCGAGTTAAAAATTTTCATTAAATGAACAAAAGATGTGTACTCTTGAGTCTTGACACTTTTTTTAATCTCTTCGATCTTCCTGAAAGTGTTTTGATATTTCAATGCTCCACTTTTTTGTTGGAGCATGAACCTGAAGAAAAAAGACATGCCAACATGACAAGACTGGTTCTGCCAAAGCCTTCCGACCCCAACTTTCCATATCCTTATATCAAAGGCTTCGTTGGATTATATCAGCAGGTACTCACGTGGTAGATTTGAAACATGACCCAAAAGATCTCTTATCTCACAGTTTCATCTAGTGATGTGAGCTCCACCCAAGGGGTTGCTCAATAGTCAATACCACGGCTTACCTCCTCCCCGCAAGACTTTGAGTAGAAGGGCGCCCACCTGGACAATTTCATCATTTGGAACATGGTTCTCTCTTACTTTCTCTTTAATAGTTACTATTCTCATCCCGAGTCATTTTTAATTTCTAACGGTCTTTCCCTTTTTCTTAACTCCTAAAATTAATACACATCTATATTAACATACATATCTCTCTACTATCCAAGTAGGAGTAAGGTCTGCGTACACACACCCTCCACAACCCTACTTTAGTGGAATTCTATTGGGTTGTTGTTGCATAACTTGTATCGCAACCACCACCTTTTTTTAATATTTCAGCATTTTGATTCAGATAGTAATATAGTATCACATGTCTAATGGTGGTGGTTCTATATAATATGTTTTTTGGTCTTAAATGATCTAATCATCACTTTAATTTTTGATGAGTACGTATTCTTGTTTTGAAACTAGACCAAACATACTGCAAATCAGAAACATTAATACTGGACTACACAGACACTAGGCTGTTTCACTCACCAGACTAGATGATATATTTAAAACAAAGATATTGAAATTCTAAGCATTGAGACCCGACTAAACAAAAGACTGAGACAAAATTATACTTGATCAAAGGAATTTTTGATATATGTTCATAATAAATTAGATCAGAAAGATTCAAAAGAGACCAGATCTTGAAATATTTCTATTAGAGCAGCGCCAACAAATTCTTAGACACCTCTAACAATAAGTCTTGATGCTAGTGTTAACTCTTATTATTCCTCCCTATTTTAGTTAACATCAATTGTTTTGGTGTCTCTCTTCTTAGTTATTTGTATTATAGATCCTACATATTAGGAACACTGATAAATCTAACCCACCCAATTTCACCCACTTTGATGTTTATTTTTAATGGTGCTTAATTTTCTTCCTATACTTAGTTTCACTTTGAATTATCACACGCCATTACGATTCTAACTTTACAACAATCCCTTTTTGGATACATGAACAAACACCATATCATTTGCATACGAGATACATTATGTTATCTCACCTTGGCTAGGTGTGGTTAAACTAATTCATGATGATTGTGAATGTGAAGTGGTTTAGAGTGGGTTTTTGGTTTAGCAAAATTGTGATAAGGAAAGCAACAAGTTCTAACTTCTAACACTTTCCTTCATTTCTAGTTGCATATTCGGATGTTCTTGATTATGTCATGAAATTTATGTCGTATCCTTCTTTATCACTGCTCACCATGTACTTTTGTAGTTCCTTATCATGTTCCTCACACTTAAACGTTGCTTGCCCTCAAGCAACAAATTGAATAATTACAAGTATAAAGGAAAATTAATAATTGCAGAGGCAAGGTTTAAGCTACATATTATGAAGGAAAGAGGAAATAAGATAGTCATCGACCTTTTTGTTAAGAATAAAAGAACCTTTAGATTCTCACCCATATTGTTAGAAATGTAAAAGAATTTTGTCAAACCAATATTTATACACCAACCTAAACAACCGAAATTTTCCAAACTTTCTTTGGGATAACTACATTCGTAAGAGTACTTTAAAGATCAAATAATTTTTTAATGGCTAAATTGGAAAACATGTTCTTGCAAAAGTATTTGTCAAAGTGTAAGGGTTTAATTTTCTTTGGCATAACTTTGTCATGTTGACGCGAGAAAAATTAATAACCTCATCCCGTGACGTAGAACCACGAGCTTTTTGGGTATTCACTCTGGAAAGTCTCATCACACGACATAGAACCGCATGCTTTTTGACTCTAACACTCAAAAGGCCTCATCACGCAATATAGAACCACATGCTTTTCGGCATACTCACACCGCCTCATCAGTTGACCTAGAACCATTTACTTTTTGGCTAAAACAAGAATCTCGGTCTCACCAAAGTATGCTTTGAAACATCACTCCTTATACTTTGAAAATAATTTTTTTTAAGAAACAACAAATACTCATAAGAGCATCAACAAAAAGATTTTCAATAAAGTATTTTAAAAATTAATTGATCTAAAAAAAACTCTTAATAAATTGTGAATGTATCCCAAATCATTTTAGACAACATTCCTAAAAGGTTTAGAGTAAAAATAAAAGTTTGACAAAAATTTTAAAAATTTCCAATTTTTAAGGGTGATAACTAAAGATTATTTAATCAGACAAATAAAATTGATGACTATTTTATAAAAATCTTTTCATACAAATATATAGACAAAACAATTCCTAAAAAGATCATTTCAACCACGAACTCTTACCTCCTCACACTTAAACGAAACCACGCCTCGTGGTTAAAAGTGTTTCAGAATTAGAGTTAATGGTTGAACTGCTCACATGCAATTACTAAGTTATCTCAATACTTACAAGATTCAACGATGAAGATTGAAATAATAGATAACCATAACATGTAAATATGAAATAATGCATAAAATATTCTCAAAATGGGTTTTAAGAGTCATGAAAAGAAGAATTCTAACATAAGATCATATAAATATCCAAAAATAATGTTCTGAACGAAGTAATAGAAAAATTAGGGATCTCACTATCCCTGACGTTTGCCGTGTTTAGGACCTTCCTTGTGCTCGGCTTTCTTTGTTCCTTGCTCCCGGGTCCAGTATTTCTTCCACCTGCCATTGTTGCGTAAGAAGGAGCGTCTCCATGCTCCTCAAGCGAGAGTCCATAGAATCCTGGAATGCAAACATAGCCTGTGAAAGCTCGCGAAGGGTCATGGGAATTCTATGCTGCTTTCTGGGGCGTGCCTCCTTGTCCTCCTTATTATAAGCGATCTGGGTCAAATACCTTGTCGACGGTCGGAACATGCTTGCGGCTTCTGGGAGAACATCGGGGACCGTCATACATAATCCTCGGGCCAGAAGCGTAACCATTGGCCCACACAAGACAAACTGGTGGTTGCTAGTCGACTGAGCAAATAGGAATCGAGCCACAAAAGTTGCTAGATTGACTGGTACGCGCGCTTCCAGACTCCAGAAAAATAGCATATCGGAATCAAACACCACGTCAGGGTCATGAGAACGGCCAAGATAGCTATGAGTCAATGCATGGTGTAAAATTCTCCAAGATGGACGCACCCAATTCCTAGCCATGCTCGCTCCACTGTGATATCGTCCATACCCGTGAGCTTGCCAGAACTTCTTAACATCGAACTCCAGATCCAACTGGTCGGGCAGATTAGGAAAGGCCAAGCTCCGCGTTTCATCAAGTGTGTAAAGACCAATCAGCCACCCTAAGTCTGCCACGGTAAGGCTCAGCAGTCGACCCATCAGAGTGAATGTGACCTTGGTGGTGGAGGTGACTTCAGCTGTTGACTTTACTTCCTCTCCGTCATTGTGGAAGCGGAGAGAGCAAAGAAACTCGATGGTGACTTCCAGGCTTGCTGGTGCTTGCAGGAACAGCAGGATCCTCCATTTTGGGTTGTACAGAAACTCATCAATGTCCTGCCAGTGTCCTAGCTCATCCAGATAGGCAGGGTCTAGCACCATGGGAGACTGGAGCATCTTCGTGTTCCCCCAAGTTAGAAACTTCTTCCTTGCTTCTTCTGAGTGCAAGGGGAGCTCTTCCAGGTTCTGTAATGTGCGGCGGTTTCCATGCGGAATCATCCAAGCAACATCCATCTGTAGAAAAGAAAAGTGAAACGAGTAAAATCTTGCCCCCTACTGGTGCGGCAAGTAAAATAAGCATATTAAATAATTTAATTATCTGAATGACGGGTTGCCTCCCGTTAAGCGCTTCTTTAACGTCCGTAGCTCGACGCTCACCCACTTTTTCCGCGACTTCCCGATCCGAGAGTCATAAAGTTTGGCCCTTCTGACTCTCTTCTGGTGCCACCTTGTTTGATTTGTTGCTCGGTCAAGGTCCAGGATCCTTGACTCGTCCCTGCGGCTTGGCGGCAACAGGATAAAAGGAGGAGACTCTAGATAGGTGGGTGGTGGCGGAAGTCGCCTCAGTTGATCCACATCATTGGCCTTCATAGCGAGATTGATTTTTTTTTATCTTCAACAGGCTGACCATCCATTTGTGGTTTGATGATTACGACCGTGCTTTCCCCCATGGAAGAGTCCTCGTCGTCACTCACCAGAAGTTCATCCCAACTCTTTAAGTTCCAATCATCCTTCGGGCAGACATAGTCACACCCGTCAAGTAGGGAGTCAAAGAAAGTTTGGTCCGAGCCTTCAGATGAAGCATTATGTGCACGAGTTTCTATAGACGGAGTTGGCCTTTCTAAGCAAAGTATTTCCCCGTCTGTAGATTCTTGCTTGGACTCATTGGAATCTTGGGGGTTTGTTGTGGGCTCTATTTCCTCCAAAACAGGTTCCTCTGGAGGTGTGTCTTCAACACAATTAAGGAGATGGTCGTTTATTTCCCTAGGCAAAACTTCCTCATCCTTTTCTTGAATGAGCGTAGGTGGTTCTGAGTCAGGTCCCTCAGTTGGTTCCACCTCATGTACGACTGTGCCGGTTGAGACTTGGCTTGGAGGGTATTCGGGTGTCATCACCACAGTAGCCCCAGCAAGAGTTGTTATGCTCTCGGGTTTCTGTGATGGTGTAGAACTTGGTGAATCTTCTAGAATTGGCACCTGATGGTTGGATGGTTCAGGGTTGGTCTTAGGTTCTAGAGTCTCTTTTTGAGCATTAACTTCCTCCAATTGTGGATCTTGAGGTTGGAGGGAGCGTTTAAGCTCAATAGCCTTACAGAGATCATTGACTAATATATCAGCTTTAGCCTCGGCTTCTAGTCTCTCTCCTTGGAAGTGGTCCAGCATTTTCTGCATCATATTTGATCCTTCGCATAATATCCTTTCGAACTCCTTTTCCTTGCGGACTGATTCGAGAAGCTTTGCTCTTTCTCGAATTGCCACATTGTTTGCTTCAATTTGTTCTTCAGCAAACAAAGTGTAGTCACGGGAGTAGGGTGGTTCGTACCAGGAGCCTTCAGCGAATAAAAGTTCGTCGAAATAGAAGATTTTCTGTTCTAATCTTATGATCTCTTCGACGACCGGATCAGGTTGATCGTCGTATATAGGCCCATTGTGGTCATAGTCATCGTGATCACCATGAGGTTCATAATAATCTTCCCCATCAGAGTCTTGGTACATAGAATATCCAAAGTTTCTAGACGAGGTATCATACGGTGGTTCCTCATGGTGGGGATAGTAGTCAGATCTATTGTTGTCTAGGTAGTCATCACCATATGGGTACTGATGTGGGTGATAGGTTTGGTGGGGTAGAAACGGAGGGTGGTTAGGTGATTTGTAGGAAGAAGGCGGACCGTAATAACCACTGGAGTTATCCATAATAATTATTACGGGTGGTTGGTGAAAAAGAAGTGAGAAGATCGTTCTAACCAATCTTCACCCAAGCTAATCAGAAGAAATTAAACTAATGCCGTGCCACTCCCCGGCAACGGCGCCATTTGACAGTTGTAATTTTTCAGGTAGTAAACCTTCCCAGTAAAGGGTTAGTTTTCTCTTAGAGTGTCGTGTCTCTCGAGGAGTGGATGAAGGGAATTAGTTTAATTACTCTGACTAGGCGAAGATTAGGATTGGTTTATGAAAGTCTTCTCGAAACGATTATAAAAGGAGCGGAGTAATAATAAATTAAGTTTACATAGTATAAGTATAGATCTGGGCCTAGGGTCAGGACATCATTTAGATCTATTTTATCATATTAAATCAACAATTGGAATAATAATATTTCTATTACTACTCATCCATTTCTAGATTTGTACTTAATCTGTTGTACTTGAATATCGTAGCCCTTTTAGCATACAATATCTTCTCAATAAATAGCTAATTAAATCTTTCGAGAATAATTAACTAAATAAGGCAAGAACAGTAGATTAACCATTCCAACATTAATTTAACATAAAAAAAATAAACAACCAAACTTGTCCGGACCCAGAGATCCGGACCCTAACTCATACTATGCAAACATAAATTAAAATAGCATTTTATTAAATAAAGAAAACTTACAACTTCCGTAAGAGCAGAACAGAATTGATCGGGAGTAGAATTTCTCCAAAAATTACTCTAAAACTACTCAAATGCTAAACTAATATTTGGGACTGAAATATAAAGCTTAATTCCCGAAAATGGGAGTGAAAGTGATGATGTGAATGGGGAGAATCGCGCTGTATTTATAGGACAGAGGCCGAGGCATCCAAGTCAAAGCGTCCAAGTCCAGGCGTCCAGATCGAGACGCTTGAGCTGCTCCGGCCAACCAGGTTTTGCCACGTGTCTTCCTTGGTCTGCAATCCAGCTAAGGCGTCCAACTCCAAGCGTCCAACTTGGCCAAGCGTCCAAGTTGGACGCCTTGAGGCCTTGGTCCGTAGGGCTTCGCGGCTGTTACGAGATCTTGGCCGAATTTCACTGATTTTCGGCCCGAATGTCGATTTTACCTTCTCGGAAGCTCGTTCAAGCCCGAAACTTGATCCTTTGATGATCTATTCCCTTTTTCTCAAGCATTTGAACATAAAATGGATAATTTTTGATGATTTTATGTGGAATCCCTATTTATGACTCTTAGAGCGAAAATGAGAGTTTTATCCATCGAAATCACATTTTAAGAGATAATTAAATATTATTTACGTGCAATAACGTTCAAATATGATGTAAATGATAATAACGAAACGGACTTATCACATGTACTTCTCCAACTATAACAAAATCATTGACAAGTTTTTTAACTTGTTTGTGGCTTTGTGCTCAATGAAATGTCACAAAAGATGACTAGTTTAAATTGTTGATCAGTCGATTTCCATACCTGATCCTTGTTTTGTAATACTTAATTTTTTTCTATATTCTTTGTTCTATCACCCCTCCTCTAACTTCATGGTAAAACTCATGTTCTATTCTCCATATTTTAAAAGTCTTGAGCTTTCACTTCCTATTTGTTAAAGAGTATCCCACATCGGAATTTGAAGAGAAAATAAACCGGTATATAAGCCTTTGAGTTGAACTAACTAATCGATTGAATTCAATCTTTTAATGTGGTTCAACCCTGTTGGAACACGGGTTTACGCGTACGTCGTACTAAACTGTGTTCGCTCTTATGACAGGTTTTGATAATGCCAAACCGCCGTGACACAACAAGGCTAAAGTGAGCAAAACCAAGGCGAAGGAACATGGCATGATGATTTGAGAACCAAGAACCAAGAATCAAGAACGAAGAATTAGAATTGTATTGAGTCGGTCTTAATGTGATCAAGACCGGCACAAACTTTCTAATCTTGGCTCTCTAGGCTTCTCTCATCAAAATATCTTTTGCATATTCAAAAATGTTTTTCTTAAGTTTTAAACTGCCTAAAAGCACTTGGAGTTCGCCCAAAACAAAAACCAAGCCATCCGGCGTTCGGTCTTCGGAAACCGGCGTTCGGCTTTCGGTTATTGGCGTTGGTTTTTGGCGTTTGGATCAACCAAGTGGTTTTCAACTTTTAATGATTGGTTTTTACTTCTGGGCATATTTAAATAGTTCTCCAACAAAAATGATTCAAAAACCACCTTTCATTTTTGGTCGTTTAGTAAAAACCATGCGAAACAGGATCAACTTGGCTAGCCGTGGTTTTCAACTAAATGACATGGTTTTCAAAATGTTTTACTTGATTTCTTAGCAAAATTCATTAAACAAACATTTTCAATACTTGGTTTTTATTTTGGAGAACTTACATTTTTGACATCGGCTAAAGGCTGACTAAACCAACCATGGGTCTGGCTAAACCAGCCCAACACCGATGTTGGTGAAACAAACAGCGCTGTCTGGCTTGGGTGGCTGAAAACCATGGTTTGGCGTTAAGTCTTCCAACAGCGATGTTGGATGTTAGACATTGCTGTTGAGCCAAGGTTGGGTTTCCAGAAACATCTGGAACAGCGATGTAGACTACACTACACCGCTGTCCAACCTAAGCCAAAAAGAAATGCCTCTGGCAAAAAGTTTTTGAACAGCGATGTTGACCCAGCAACAGCGCTGTCAGGCCAAACTTCCCACCTTCAAAGTCAGACCTAAACAGCGATGTTCAAGTAATGAACATCGATGTAGGGACCTGACCGTTGGAAGGAATTTAAGGCTAAAACTTTCTCTGTTTGGAAGTCAACAGCCAAAACAGCGATGTAGGGGTATTGGACATCGCTGTTGGCATGACCGTTGCTTTCCAATTTTCAAAAACCAAGCCTAGAACAACGATGTCCAAGCCTAGGACAGCTCTGTCTGGGTGAATTTCAGCAGATCCAAATTTAATCAAATCCCACAAATTGTGCCAATCACCCCTTAAATGTTTTGGTCCGTTGGAGCCTATTGTTCCACTATAAAATGGGGTGTTTGGGTCTGTTTTAAATATAACATAACTTCACAACTTCTACTCTTTCATTGCAAATCATTCATCACTTTTTCATAGCTTTTTGAGAGCCATTTTTGTGAAGCTTGTGTTGCGTTCTTGAGCGTTCTTAGTTACTCATTATCCACTCTAAAAGAGAGCATTGTTCTTGAGAGTTTTTAGTGTTCTTAGACACTTGACAAGAGAAAGTATTTCTCTTGTTGTTCGAAGGAAGGGTTGTTTCCTTCGAAGGTTTGTTGAGGTTCGTGTGACTCGAACTCTCAAGTTGTACGGGTTTGTTAAGCACCATTAAGCTTAACGAGATAGTAGTGTAGCTCGAGAGAGTCTCTCGGGAGGCTGGATTAGCCACAAGTTGTGGTGAACCAGGGTAAAATCGGTGTGCCTCTTACTCTTCTCTTTACTTTTCGTTTATTCATTTTTATTCCTGCGATTTTTTGATCAAATGCTATTCACCCTTCCTCTAGCGTTGGTCTATTATTCTAACAATTGGTATCAGAGCCTAACTCACGTCCAAACTTAACCGTTTGAGAGTAAAGCGATCATGGGTTCTTCTTCTAGAAATCTCTATGCAGGAATTGGAGAAGGTCAATCAACTTCTAGGCCACCACTCTTTGATGGCACCAACTACTCCTATCGGAAGGAACGGATGAGAATTTATATCAGTTCCACCAACTTCCAATTATGGTTGGTCATCAAAAACGGAGAGCAAATCCCTATGAAGAAAGTAGGAGAAACCACAGTCCCAAAAACCGAGGACGAGTTTGATGCTGAAGACATCAAGAAGGTTGAAAACTACGCAAAAGCTATCAACATGCTTTACTGTGCGGTTAACCCCGATGACTACTGGAAAATCTCATGCTGCACAACCGCCAAGGAGATGTGGGACAAGCTTGAAGTGACGTACGAAGGTACCGATCAAGTTCGTGAAGCCAAGATCGATTTTCTCACCCAAGAGTACGAAATGTTCCGAATGAAAGAAGGTGAGAAAATCGATGACATGTTCGACCGGTTCTCAAAGATCATCAACGATCTTCATGCTCTCAAAAAGACTTACGCCAACAAGGATCTCGTGAGGAAAATCCTGCGGAGTCTCACACCCGAATGGAGGTCAAAAGCCGATGCAATCTACGAATCCATTGGAGTCTCAAATGTCACCATCGACGGGCTAAGAGGTAATCTCAAAACTTATGAATCTACTATTCTAACCCCGTCTTTGGATGAACAAAAGAAGAAAGGAATAGCGCTCAAAGCAACCAAGGAGACTATGGAAGAAGTCTCAAGTGATGACGACAACGAGTTCGGACTCGTCATCAAGAAATTCCACAAATTCATGAAGAAGGAATTTGAACGGAAAGGAAGAAAGCACGACGGTCCCCCGAAGTGCTATGGCTGTGGCGAGATAGGCCACATCAAGCCAAGATGTCCAAAAGGCAAAAGCGGCAAGGACAAACCTGGCTTCAAAAAGCAACGAGCCTATATCTCATGGGGCGGTGACTCTGGCGACGAGTCAACTGATCAAGAAGAGGAGGAAGCCGCCAACCTCTGCCTCATGGCGCACGAAGATCAAACCGACGACGTTCAAGAGGTATGTACCATTTCTTCCGACTCTTATACTTTTGAAGAAATGCAAGAAGCACTTCATGAACTTTATGATGAACTTGTTAACGCTTCTAAAACCAACAAATCTTTAAAGAAACGGCTTTCAACTCTTGAAAGTGATTTTGAAAAACTGGAAAAGGATAATGAAAGGTTGAAACAAGAAAATAAATTTTATGGTAAAAGAAGTGCTGACAAACCAGAAAGCTCCTCAAATGAATGTGAAACTTGCAAAACTTTAAAAGAAAAGGTTGCAAAACTTGAGAGTACGGTTAAGAAATTTAATACACCGCACAAAGATCTTAACTTACTTCTTGACACTATGCATTTTTCTAAGGAAGGAATAGGTTTTGATAAAAATGAATCTAAGGATAAAAACGTTGAGCATACACCTAGACAACCTACTAAGGCTCAACGCAAGAAAGATAAAAACCAAGATAATAGAAAACCTAGTCAACCTAAGAACACTACACAACCTAGACTAAAACCTAGGAATGAAAGTGGTCATGGTAGACAACCTAAGAAAAATGATTTTGTGCATAAAAATGAATTTTCTCAAATAAGAAGAAATAATGCTAGAGCACCTAGAAGGGGCCAGTTTCAAAATTTCCAAAAACCATCGTTTTCACAAAATAGGAATAAAATGGTTAAACCTTCTAACTATTATGAACCTAGGCACATGTACAACCCAAATGTAGTTTGCCATTATTGTAATAGGATAGGCCATATTGCTCCCGTTTGTTACACTAGGCATAGGCACCTATCACAAAATCAAGCACACTACCATCACACACCTAACACCCGAGGACCCAACGTAAATTGGGTACCTAAAACTCATTGATGTGTTTCATAGGTGTGCTTGAAGGCATCAAGTGTACTTTGGTACCTTGATAGCGGATGCTCCAAGTGTTGGACATGAGTTCAAACCCCTTTATTATTTTTCTGGAATATTTTTTGTTTTGATAAATGACAAACAGGATGATGAAATTCAAACGATAATCGAAAATTTATTTTTTCGTACCGAGAAAAGAAAAGAGGCGTATCAAGAAAGTTACGGGATAAAATTCAACGCTCACCCCTACGCAGATTTTTGAAGTGAAGTGAAGACTCCGAAGACTTTTTAATTTTTATTGAGTCTAGGATTCTTGTAAGGATGACAATAATTTTTGCATAAACAAATTAATTTTGAGGGATAAAAATTATTATTTCTTGAGTCAGTTGAAAAATTATTTCTTCTCTGTCTAAAAATATTCTTTTGAGTCAGTTTCAAAATAGTGTGTCAAAATTTCTTTAAAATATTATTTAAGGATACACAAATTTTTTGTGGTAAGAAAAATGTACTTTAAAGTTTTCTTTCTTTTACATCGTTTGATACACAAAATATTTTTGGGACTCAATTTCTACACCAAAATTCAAATATTTAATTCAAATTTTGAATTTGAATTAATTTCTTTAACCCATTTGTATTGTTTGTTTTTGGGAGCCTTATATTATTCAAATTGTTGTCTAAAACAAAGCATTTAAATCCAAATATCCATCCCACTCGCAC